TTCATTTCATAATTAAGGGAAATACTTGCCATAGAATAAAAAAAAAGTTTCTCATTTCACAAAAACATGTATATATTTTTTTCCTTTCAGCTAAAAATTCACCCTGCAACATTTATTCAGAGTTTGAATGTGGAAACGGTGAGTGCATTGACTACCAGCTCACCTGTGATGGCATTCCTCATTGCAAGGATAAAGCTGATGAAAAGCTGCTCTACTGTGGTAAGTGTCAGATACCTGATTTGCTAATTTCAGAGAGAATTTGTGATTTTTTTTTCTCTTTCAGTTTTTATTTGTCTGTTTCTAATTGGTTTATGTAGATGATTTTCTTAGTGTCTCTATTAACATGGCAAATGACTTGGCTTTGCTCATGTTGAAAATGGGCACTTGGTTTCCAAACCAATATAAAAGGATATTTTTTGAAGAATTTTCTCATGGTTTTTCATTCAAAAAATGCAAATTAAAACAGAGCAGAAAACTGTCTTTTGAGCTGCCTAGTCTTTCATCTTTAGCAATAGGTTTTAAGTTTAATTCTTAAAAAAGAAAAATGTAATTTAGAAATATCAGCAATTTGTGCACATTCCAAGTATACTCTGCAGCAAAAGTCTGCCATCAGTCAATAGCATGTCTTTGGATTTGTCTCAAAGTCTTGTCCATTCTATTTCCGCCTCCAAGATTGGCATAGGGGCCAGTGTTCTTTGGCACAATGGCTGATTGCTTTAGTCATGGTCCCCAGTCACGTACCTCATCAGAGAGAAAATTCTAGCAACTGCATTTCCATAAAACCAATTGCCATTGAGTGAATTCTGACTCATAGTGACCCTATAGGACAGAGTAGAATTGCCCCACAGCGTTTTCAGGACTGTAAATCTTCATGGAAGCAGACTGCCACATCCTTCTCCCCTGGAGCAGCTGGTGGGTTTGAACCACCGACCTTTCAGTTAGCAGCTGCGCACTTTAACCACTACACCACCAGGAATCCTGAGTGCTTCTGTAAAACTACCAAAAACCAAACCTGTTGCCATCCAGTTGATTCCAACTTATAGATGACAGCAAATAATGTTCTACCTCCACCTCTCCTTTGGGAGTAGAGATTGGCTTTTCTATCCTAGTAAGAACCTGCCCTTTGCCTTAATTGCAACAATTAATTTTTTTCCTGATAATTAACAATTACTATAGAATTGATCTAGATTATTTAAAAATTGATCTGATTTATTTTTACTCTATAAATACAATAGCATTGTGATTTTATGCTACACAAAATTTAGGCATCTGTATTTGGAATTGTTATGTTTTATCAACTTTTCTCCCTTGTTCTATAATCTGAGTAATAATTAATAGCTAAATATTCAAAGGAAAGGTAAAACAAGACAATGGAGTTTGGGAAATCCATAGAAGTCCATGCATCCTTTTATACTACAGAATAACACACTCTCAGTTAAAATGATAATCAAATATAATTAGTCTGTAATCAATCTGCACCCAAAATCCTAGGAAATTTACCTCACATACTGTATTTGCTTGAATGAATGGCTGTATTATGTACAATATGAAAATATTAGAGCATATAAAAATGTAATAATCAGTTGGTAAAATTTATTTACTATGAATTGGCTTGAGAATGTATTTTATATTGTTTTTATCTTCTCAGAAGACATATAATATGCCTGTAGAATACGGGCCAGGTAGTAAATATTTCAATTTTGCAGACCATATATGTTCTCAGTCAC